CCCAATAAAGAATCGTAATAGTCAATGCTTTTTCTGCCGAGATCAATAACCTGAAACACTACAAGATAAGGTTACCAGATTTTCAGAAAGGAATCCAGAAATTTGAGCAGGCAAATATGCTTAGAATGTTGTTTAAATAAAGAAGAGTATATCTAATTCAATATGATAGCTCAATAGGAGAACTTACTGCCATGCACCAGTGTACACTGAGATGCACAGGTACTAAGAGCACATCATATGCAAATATGTCCACTTTCCTCGTCCATCTTTTCACCGAAGAATATCCCTTTGTTGATATATTTGCGTAGAAGAACGTATTGAACGCATATGTCTGCAACTACAGATTATGTCCTAGAATTGCGCATTCTGTCTAAAAGCTTACGTCTGGTAAATTCTTGGACCGGGTACTTCTTTGGCATACGAGCTGAAGGTAGAAGTTGATAACTTCGTCGTTTAACCAATCTAAGCCGGAGAGAGTGGATAGGTCTTTTCGTGTAAGCTAAATTCTGATCATGTCTATGGAATTTTTAACCCTTCAAGGAGATATAAGTACTGTTTATTCCTAGAAAAATGACCCTCAATAAAAAGTAGTGAAAAAGGTTTTCACACGAACCCTCACCTTAATACCAAAAGCTTCGCTAAATTCCTCAGACTGCGGTAGCCGTCGGTTCCAAACTCGCTGGCACAACTCGAGAGCTTCCTCTGGTAGCGCTAAACAGATAGGACGTAATGGCTGACAGTCGGCTTAATTACGCCTTTACACCCCAAAATCGGAAACTCTAACGTAATTCTGCAAAAATCAAATGAAACCGAGAAAGAAAGTTTTCAGCACATAAGGAACTTACGAGGGAACTCATCCTTGACCTTCGGCTTCCTAGCGGGAACCCTAATGCCGACAATTTCAAGGTTTTTTCTGATTTCTTCCTCCGCGATCTCTCGCCTATAGAGACCAGCAAGATTCCGAATCCTTATCTCTTCTCTTAGAGCGAACTCCTTTTCAGTCTTCTCTCGGAGCTCGTCTTTGAACCTTCAGCAAAAATCTCATAACTATTTCTCACATTTGTAAGATCTTACCTCTCATAAATTGTGCGAGGTGTCGGTTTTTGACTTACGGTATTCATCCTACTTAGCAACTCTGTCAGTTTCTCTACGCCTGAGGAGCGCGAGCTCATTGGAGTTTCCGAACGAGAACTGAACAAGCAAAAATTAACAAAACAATAAAGACAACAGCATCGTACACTACCTCTGACACTCAGACTCAGTCTCGACTGGAATATCATCAGTCCTACTAGAACCAGCAACTGACTGCTCGCTATCCCCTATCTCACTACAATCATTCAGTGAGTAACAAACCCTAGACAGCGTAATCAGATCGTATACCTGGGTTGTTCAGAAGATGACTGCCGTTCAAATGACTTGTTTGAATCAGTCACTTCACCCTCCTCCACTCTTTCATGTTCTTTTCTTTTTTCATATTTCTTTCGCTCAATGTTGTCCAAAACTTTTCGAATTCTCACTCTTGCATCGAGACTGCCCTCAACACGGCGGCTTTTGCGGAAGGGTCTAAATGAAGTTTAAATAATGAGTTCCTGCTCAGCTGATACTATGTTCACCAAAAAAGACACCTCAACAGAGTGTGAAAACGTGAGCTAAAGAAAAAATGGGAGGAAAAGTTTATGAACAATTTATCAATGTGAAAAAAGGAGCATCTACTTTCATGACTCACTTTCTTTTATCCATGGGCATCTCCAGCAATGTACCATTTTGTGATGGATACTCTACAATATTGCCCATCTTTCCAATCATATCCACGAGATAATCCCGCGCAGCCAGATTCACATTTGACCCCTTGAACATATACCCATAAGTTAAACACTTGTACAAAGGACGTTAGATAATCACTTCAGCAGCCGCACTGCACACTCCGCTTCGTAATCGGGCAAATGTTCTCTCGATAGATGCAGCATGCGAAGAAGCTTCCAAAGACTTTGCCTTAGAAATTCCGGATCTGCGACGTCGCCATGGATCGCTGCGAGGTGAGGGAGTGTCTGAAGCGTAGTTGTACAAAAGATATCACGATTTTGCTATCTATTGTAATTTTGTTAGATAATGATGTAACTTAATGGAAAACAATGTAACACAGCTGCTGATTCGCTAAATTCTTAATATACCATTACAATCATACTCAATGTCAACGTGACCCAATAGCATGGTTCCGCGACAGAAGAATGAGGAAAAGTAGTCGCTGGACGAGTTGTGAATGACATTCACTGCACTTCATTACCTTGCTCGAGAATCTTTTATGTGGCAAAAAGTCAAAGCTATATCCATAAAACAGCGAATTCTTGAAGAGAAAAAAAGGGACTTTGAATCTTTATGTTCAGAACATTCACGACAACTTGAACATGCGGCACCCGACGCAGACTTCCGTCTCCGATCACGGGACCCACAGTGCGTGCACGCTTAAATCTCAGATTCAGAGATGCCATGTAATCAACCTCAAGTTGTTTCTACAGCTAACTTCGATCATAGCCCACATTTGAGGGTGAGGTTTCCTCTTGCGCTGTTCTTAAGATGA